GCGCCGGGGAAGCGGCTGCGCGGCGGCGGGGTCTCCGGGGAGGAAGAGCGGCGGGAGGAGAAGACGGTCCCGGGTTTAAAGGGAGGCCTGCCCGCGCGGGAGCGCGGGAGAGCGGGGAGCGCGGCCAGCGGAAGGGGGCCCGGCGGGGCGGGCGTGGGGGGGCCGGACCGCGGGGGGGGCCGGCTGACTTTCTTTAATGTAGTAAATGACTGGTGTTGGTTCAGCACATCTTCCCGTTTTATTTACGATTGGTTTGCACTGAATCCATTCGCCAGGTGTTACCTGAACACCTTCGAAGTCAATCTCTCCCGCTAGGCCGGCCAGGGGCCCGCCCAGAAGGGAGTGTTCAGGGACTTCTCCGGAGGGTTGGCGGCTTTGCATTATAGGAGTAACGGGTGTATGTCTAAGTGACGCTCCAGTAAATTTTGAAGTTAGAAACTGCACAGCATTTAAAGGGCATTCTCTCCTCCACTGCCCTCTATATAGAATAAAAATTCAGAAAAACCTACATTTTTAAAAGAACAAGAGAAACAACATCTAATGACTATGAACTTCTCTGCATCTCAGCTCAAGTGTGAAGGAAACTGCTAACTCGGACTGAACCTCCGCGGGGGCTTCTGTTGGCTGGGTCCGCGCAGACGCCTGCCCGGGGGACCCACCTCTTCGGAAAATCACCAGGAAAAGAACTCCCTGAACGATTCTGCAGTGGGAACACATGGGCAATGTTTCTGTTTTCCCAGAGTGCATATGATTTCTCGTAATTAAAATGCTCAGGGTTTTTTTAATTACTACTTGGGTATTTATTAGGTTGTAAAACTGCTAGGACAAGTATTCATGCTAAAAAGAATTATTTTTACATTTGAAACTATCACTATATTTCAAACTCTTTCCATTTTATCTCCATTATGGTGAAATTATGTTTAATAAACATGGAATAAAGTCACCCAGATGATACTCATTTGCAACTCTCCCTGCAATTGTTTTTAATTAATAAACTCAGAAGCTATCTTTTGCAGAAATAACTGCCTTAAGCTTCCAAAAAGTTTCCAGCTGGAAAGCTACAAAGTCCATTTTACAGCGGGTTGTTCTGTTACCAATTTCTGTGGTGACAGAGAAGGTCAGAGAAGTGGCTCCAGAGGGGACTCAAAACCCCCTAAAGGGAAGTCCCCACCCGCCATGTAAACTTGTACAGAATATAAAATGTTCTGTTTCTTCCCGCCTGCGGTTTGTGTCCATTTTACCGAAGGCCTTTATTACTTTTGTGATTATCCGAATGGCGAGACCTGGATTTATTTCCGTGGAAATAAACGAAGACCAACCGAATGTGAAGGAGCCAAGGCCGGTCGCTCAGCACTTTCCACGGGAGGGAATCGGCCCTTGTCACGTGCCTGGCGAGCGGGTTGGGGGGGGTCACAGTGGAAAGAAGGGGTGCGCAGGCGCCCTGGGCAAGTGGCGCGCGAGGGCCCGGCTCCAGAGACCCTTGCCACACCTGTGGCGCCGGGCGGTGCCACCGCGCGGCGCGGGTGGGTGGGCAGCATGTTCACTTGGCAGCTGGAGCAGGAGGCGGCCCTGCATCCCCACCCACAACGTGGCAATTACGCCAACTCGGCCCCAAAGCCCCCGAGTCCAAGTGTTGGCAGTTCCTCGCACAGTCGAGGCACGGGCACCTATGATGGCACAGGCCTTGAGCCACGTCCTCGGTAAGAACTGAGACCGGAACTGGCCATGCTGCCCGCGGCAACCCTGGACCAGGATAGTGCAGGCGCCGGTTCCCAGCGGCTCCCGGGGGGAGCCTCTCTGGGCGTCTCCGACACACGAACCGTGGTCCCCCGGCCTGGCGACCCCGCCCTGGGGCGCAGATTCTACTTCACACGCTCCCTGACCTCGCGTGTGGCGGAAGCCGCGGTCCACTCGGTGCGGGTGCCAGAAGCCTGGCCTCTGCAGCCTCAGCTCCGACGGGAGCCCCGGCCGCCCGCCCCTTGGGATGCATGCGCTGCGCTCTGCCGGCAGAAGGGACACAGCGCGGCCGCTCGGAACGGGCTGCAGAGGCTGGAGGAGGGAGGACACGATGCGTCCAAAGTGCCTCCAGGGCCTCCCGGAATTGCACCTCTTTAAGGCCGAGGGGACGCGGCCCGCGATGCTGGGTGTGGAGCCTGAGCCCGGCCAGGCCCGCGGGCAGGCGTCGTGGGGCGCAGGCGCTGGGCGGGCCAGGCAGCCCGCGAGGCTTTTTCTGTAAAATTAAAGATACGTTTCATTCTCACCAATAACTTTATTGATCTGGACACTCTGAGCACCTCGGCTCTCCCGCCTGTACGACGCTGACTGTTCTCAGTGAGTCGCTGGACCGGATCGCCACCAACGTTGCGGTCAGCGCGGCCGCAGGGCGCTGTCCAGCAAGCCGCCGCAGCACAAAGCGTTGTGAACCGGGCCCACACGCAGCGCGCATCTCGTTTTGCGTTTCAGTTGCGTATTTGCCCTTCTTGAAATAAGACATAATATGCTGAAAATGTTGCATCTTTTCCTCCACCTTCGACATTAAGATGGCTGCACAAATATTCACCAATTTTGATAATTTTTAAAAAATGCAGGCTGATACGAGAGCTGCCACAATACAATCTATCAAAATTGTTTTGATTTAAGTGCTCCTGGAGCCATCGTATGGAGGAAACAAAAACAAAAACGAGTTTTCTGGCCAACAAACACGTCAAATTCAAATGGGAGGTGCCCCATTCCACTGTCTGAACCAGCGGCCGCTTGGTGCCGGGACTCCCTGCCGAACCTCGCACGTCCCCCGGTCCTCTTCCTGCTCCAGGATGTGCCCTCGGCTACATCCGACAACACCGAGGGGCGCCCCTCGTCGCAGTCTGGGGCCGCCCGGGGCTGCGGGGCTGCGGGCCTGTCCTGCTGGTGCACTGCTCGCCTCCTGGGGGCAGGGGACCAAAGGCCGAAGCCCGACCCGAGGGCCCGGGGAGCACGGCAGCTGCCATGGGACTCCCAGCCCCGCCCGTGCGCACCGGCGGCCGGGCCGCGGGGGGCGTGCAAGCGGCAGCCTCAGGGGCAGGGTCCTGGCCCTGCCGGTGCCGGTGCGGGGCCCTGGGTCCTCCCCAAGACTCGGCCTCAGAAGCCGAGGCTGTGACACCGCCCCCGAGAGTCGCCAACGCAGGGCGGGCAGTCCTGCAGCTCCAGCTGCGCAGCGGAGTCCGGGCCTGGTCAGCAGCGGACAGTCCCTCGGCCGTGGCCGCCCGGCCGGCGGGTCTGCAAAGCTCTGGGTGCCCCGCCCCCACCAGCGGCAGAGCCCGAGCCCCGTGAGTCGGGGGCGAGATCACGGCCAAGCCTCCTACAGCCCCCGAGGCTGGGGACACTGCTTTTCAGGCTTGAGAGGAGGCTAAGGAGCGAGTCCCCAGATGCCAGTCGCCAGTTACTAGCGATGGAGGGAGGCGGCCAACCCCGCGCCGCGAGCGGACCTAGCGCGCAGCCCCGCCCCGTGCGCAGCAGATGTGCGGGCCTCTGCGGCTGCTCATCTGTGGCCAACGTCCGACAGTTACCGTTTGGCTGCATTTGGATAAGCACGTTAGCGAGAAAATATACATTAAATACTATGAAAGTTTACTTTTAATGAAACAGGATCTTAATACAATATGGACATATAAATTTAGTGGTTTTATTGCATTGTTAGAAAATTATATTAAGAAAGATACAAAAAAATCAGTAGATGTTTATTTACAATAAGTACGCCATGACAGCTTTAAATTTTCATTTACCTGATAGGTTTCAAAGAATAGTTTATTACATGCCTAATAAAACACTTAAAATATTTACAAATTCAAAATAGATGTTTTAAACTGGAAAAAAGTTCACCTGAGACTTCATTATAACATTGCCATTTCTTTGATTTTGTTCCCCAACTTGTCGACGTGGCTGAGCATCCACCAGCAGACGACTGAGCTCCTTGTTCAAAGCCAGGGGAGCGTCCGCCTGCCCCTGGCACAGGCGTAGCCAGTCGAGGCCCAAGGCTTGTATTGCCTTTGCTGTGACTGTAACGATTAAGAGCAGATCACTTGCTATGGGCGAACAGAAAGAACACACACGTGTGAGGTGATGTCGCTTTGCCGAGTCAGACACAACAGCTTTTCTAAAACTCAGGAAGCGTTGGGAAGGCCACACACGGGCCAACGGCCACGTGCAGACACAGCACACACACCGAACGCGCCGCCCAGGATTCTGCATGAAGGGGAGACGCACACTGTGCACACAATCCTGTCATTTGTCTTCTACACCCTCAAAAAGAAGAATCAACTTAAATTTTTAGGAAAAATCTTCTTTAGAGGTTAAAATAGGCATAAATGTGTAATGCTATGCGATAGACCTAACATTTTCCCACCTGACAGCCAAAGACAAGAGAGAACCTTCGCAGCGTCTGCCCCTCCGGGACAACGCGAAGACCGCGGGGGGTGAGGTAGTGCTGACTCGTCTTGCGCACCGGCCACTGGGGCGGCGCTGCATCTCAGACACAGTCCACTCGGCCGAGAGGCAGGCTGGGGCGGAAATCAACCCTTCGTGCTGAACTGTGTGTATGCAGAGATAAATTTAAACCAAATGCCTTAAAAATCATGGAGACAACCAGGTCCTATCATAAAGCAGAAAGGAAGCTCTCAAAGCGGCTCCCTGCAGGGGCCGCGGGCGCCCGCGCGCCAGCACGCTGCCCGCTGAGGTAGGAACGGAGGGCGCCGTTGGCTTGTATCAGATTTTACATCCTGTAAACCAGAAACGTTTTTATATTATTTTATATTTTGAAGTTAAAACTTAAAATTACAAGTGTCAAAGAAACAGGTGCGTGGGGACGCATGCGCGCCGGGGCACCGCCACGCAGCGTGGCTCCCCCGCGCACCCCTGAGTGCCCCTGGCGAAGCCTCGAGGACGTCAGCCAGCCTGCTTGTCCCTCCTGACAGCTAAGCCAGCGAGAGAGCACACAGACCACCGGGGACCTGCCACGGCTGTCCCCCCACCCCCACCCCGACCCCAGGGGCGACACCGGGCGAAGGACGCGACTCACGCAGGGCGGTCCCCCCAGGGGACCTGGCGCTGCGCCGGGCCCGCCGCTGCCGGGGAGGGCCTCTGACCGAGGCACCGTCCGTCACCCCCTTGTGCCCTTAAAACGGGCTCTGCGAACGCTTCTGTGCACGAGGCCGTGTGCAATTTTTTTAATCGTAGGAAGCCGACAGTCTAGGCTTTCATCCGACTCTCAGACGAGTCTGTGGCGCCAGGCTGCCTGCGCCACAGCAAAAGGTGTTGCGGGGGGGGCGGGCACCCAGATGATGGGAGCGGGACTTTAGAGCAGGACTGGGTCACACAAAGGATGACCATCGCATGCCCGGTCGAAACACTCTGTGCGCCTGGAGGCACCAGACCGGGGAAGAGAGCGAGGTCCCCGCGGGCTCCCAAACCGAGCCCAGGACGAAGCAAGGCTGAGGGTCACCGCCCACACTGCACGGCTGTCCCGGGGCGTTTTACCGATGGCGCTTCCCACAAGCGAGTCACAGGACTTCACGCACGGGGGACACGGGACAGCCCTGCTGGCAGCACAGGCGGGCTGCCCTGATGCCTGGCGCTCAGGCGCGGCGGCTGCGCCGGGGAGGGGGCCACAGCAGCCCTGCCAGCACCCAGGCCCCGAACCCGGGGCCTGTTTCCTCCTGCAAAGGGACAGGGTGTCCAGACACAAAGACCCTGACGGGCCCAGATGTGGGAGAGACTGAAGAGAGAAAGCAGGAGGACGACAGTGACCCGGAGCCTCTACCGTCGCCACCGACGAGGAGCAGCGGCCTCTGCGCAGGCCACCCGCCCGCCCCCGTCTCCCGCGGTCCCAGGGCAGCTCAGGGGCGCACGCAGGCCGCCCACTCTCTGGACGGAAGTGAAGCCGAAGGGCAAAGCTCCGGGCCTCGGGCAGGCAGCTCCCCACGAGCGTCCCACGGGCGGACGCCTCCTTCGGGGCAGGCCTCTCGGCGTCTGCGGGGGGCCCGGCCGCTCTGGGGTCGATGCGCTGCGGAGGCCAGGCGTCGCGCTGCTGTTTGACGGACAGCCTTCATTCGCATATTTGTTCTGAATAAGGCGGAGAGTTGTCACTCACTAATAGTCACCACTACGCGTCCACGTGGGGTGTTTCAGGATCCCGGGCGCAGGCGCCTCCTGCGGCACTGATGGCCGAGAGCCAGCCAGGGCTGAGGGCCCGGGGGGTCCCCTGGCCCGCGCGCTCCAGGGAGGAAACGCTGCTGACAGGCGCCTGTATCAGGCTTCAAGACAAACATGAGAACTCAGGAGGGGACTCGATGGTGCGAAGGCCGCGAGTGTGAGCGAGCTCACTGGTCGGCAGTGCATCTGTCTGCCACCTGCTGACAGACATCTGAGAGGCCTGCCCCTGGCCGACACTGTCCCCCCAGCCCAGAGGGCTCGGGGGCCACCCCGGGAGGCGGCCCGGCCTCCGGGCCCTGGGCACAGCCTGACCCGCCGCCCTTCCCGCTGGGGCCGCAGGCGCTCCCCTCCCCGGCGGGCAGCACAGCCGGACCCTCGGGCAAACCCAGGCTCGGTGGGAACACGAGCGCACCATCGGACGGGCCTTTCTCTTTCCCAGAAACCAAGAAGGAGAGCGGGCAATCCGAGGCCGAGTACTTGGCGAGGATCTGTATCTGCTCCTGGCTCAGCGCCGCCTCCTTGCAGACCTGCTGGCAGAGGCCCGTCAGGTTCCGCCTCGTCTCGCCCAGCGTCGACCGGATGCGGTCCCTCTCCGCCAGGAGGCTCTCCTTCTCGCTCTGCTGCGGGCGCGGGAGAGAGAACACGGCGCGTGGTTACTGCACAATCAGCACTTCCAAGGCGCTCAAGCATTCCTGTCTACGGTGGCATCGCATTAAACAAGGAATTTTCCCATTCAATTCAATTGAGAAATAAATACCTCAGGGCCCTACTCCCTCATCCAAAGCTCCTAGGCCCGGGCGCATGCTGGGGCTCAGGGCTTTCGGGGTGCAGAGGAGTAACACGGACGCGCACCCCCTCCTCTGGCAGGGACGGAGCAAGCAGCCCGCGGCCAAGCATCTCGACATATCTAAATAAAACACACTAAAATATTAAATAATGGGCAACGTAGGAAAATTAAACCTAGCCCACTGTCATTTCTAAAGAGATTCTACTTTTGATCTCATACTCGGACTTTTCCTTTCCCCGTATGTTTGGTACCCAGGTATTTCAGGCAGAAACGTTGCCGTTAAATTAAAGATTCATTTCTTTTCCACCAAATTCCCATCTTTGGAGATTTGCCTGGTAGGCGGTGAACAGAAGGGTCTCCCCTACTGGCTGGGTTCGTTCCGTAACAATTTCTCTCTCTCACCCCCCCTACCCAATTCTGTCCACACCACCCCAGCACCAAGCACGCTTTCTCAAGTCTAACATCTGCCGAAAGAAACCAGGGTGTCTTAGAGAAAGGGGGGGTTCTGAACACTGGGACAAGAGAGTTCCAGCTGAGCCCGCGACAAGCCGCTGCGGTCGGCACAGACCGCTAGTGGGGTCGCGTCGAAAGGGCACAGGAGCTGGCTTGAGGGGGCTCTCCCTGGTCAAGCCTGAAAAAATGTCAACATAAAAAAGGTCAGGGCCCACTATGGACTCTAAGAAATTAAATTAGAAAGGAATGAACCCACGCGTCTGCGGCGACAGGGAAGGGGCGGGAGGGTGCGCAGGCGGTGCGGAGGAAGGCGGTCCCCGTTCAGAGGGCAGCGTGCACGTGGAAGGGCAGGGCAGAAACACGCTGCTCTGCAACCCCTGCCACACGGGCCATCGCCAAGAACGCACGGTCACCAAAGAACAAGCTGCTCATGAAGCACCTAAGCAACTGCACGCGTCACCGAACAACCACAGAGGCAGCCAAGATACTTTCCAAGAGAATCTGGCCATTCCCAGGTGGGTGACCTGGCACTGTGTCCCCGCCACAGCGACGGGCGACAAAGCACCCACCAGCGAATGTCTGATCTCAGTGTAACTGCTCGAAGCTGTGCCAGGAAATACAAAAGATGGAGGGTGCGTTACATAAAACCAGGGGAAGAAATCAGCAAATAGTAAAGTGGGATATTTTATGAGAAATATGGCCTCGACTTTTCAGAAAATTATTGTCATGAAAAAAGGAAGAGCTTGTCCTAGACTCAGCAACTAGCAAACATAACCGGACGATGGATCCGAGTCTGAACAACCAGAAAGGGCAAACGTGTGAAATGCATCGGGGCAGAAGCAAGGCAGTGTGAACAGGGCCTCGCCCAACAGCGGAGGTCCCCACGGTGCTCAGGCGCGACGAGGCTCAGGGCGAGATGTGTGAGGGGGACCGGCGAGCGGGGCGGGGGGGGCGCGGGGGTGGGGGCGTGAAACGTCCTAACGTGGTTTCGGATGATTCAGAACAGAAGAGGCAGGCGGCAGAGGCAGAGGAGGGAGAGAGCGAGAGCGAGACGGGGCAACGGCGGCCTCGGCCGGGGCAACAGGCAGGGTCCTGGGGCGGAGACACACGCTGCCCAGGGAGACGGACCCACCGAGAGGAAGACAACGCACATGTGGCGAAAATGCCCACAACTGCTGAATCCACGCACGGCTGCTCACGCTGCTATTCACCTAACTCTTCTGAAAGCTTCCCATTTTTAGAATGTGAGGGGAAAAGATGAATCTTAAGAAAAAAATCAAAACACATGAACCAGGCTCCCTAGGAAACTGCTGTACAAGCATTTTACGGACAAGGACTGTAATTACATCCATCTTTAATTTCCTGGTACCCAGTGCAACATTTTTTTAAAGATTTCATTTATTTACTTTTAGAGAGAGGGGAAGAGAGGGAGAAAGGAAGGGAGAGAAGCATCTGTGCGTGGCCGCCTCTCACGCGCCCCCTGCTGGGGACCTGGCCTGCGCCCTAACTGGGACTCCAACGGGCCCCCCTTTGGTTTGCTGGCCGGTGCCCGGTCCACTGAGCCGCACCAGCCGGGCCCAGGGCAACATTTAATGCTCGTACGCAGGGCGCAGCAGGTGTCCAGAGGAAGAAGAGAGAACCACCAACTTCTCGCGCTTACTGAGGCCTGAACAGGTGCTGCACAGGCACGGCGTCCGTCCCGCAGGCCCCGGTCCTTGCGCAGGCCCCAAGGCAGGCGCCGCTCTGACCCCACATTCCCGAGGAGGGAGTGTGTGCGCTGGAGGAACAACCGTGTCCCCGGCCACGCGCTGGCCAAGTGGCCAGGCAGAACGCCCAGCCGCCTGGCTCCAAAGCTAAAGCCTCCGTCTGACCTGCAGGTGCTAGTGCAGTAGGTCACCCAGACGTACCGTGCACAATGAAGACGAACCTGAACTCCTGCAAAGTGCGCGTCCCCGGGGCCCTTCTCGGCACCCTGATGGGAGCCCCAGACACGGGGGTCGGCAGAGCTCCTGTGGGCAGGGCGGCCGGCTGACGGCGGCCAAAACAGTCCCCTTAGCAGAGGGACGCAACCTCCCCCACACAATGCCAAGCGCTCAGGACGGGTGAGACGCCCGTCCCGGCAGCACCGCCGTGGGCACGGGCCGCAAGGGCCTCGGGGCGGCCCGGTGCCGACCGCTCCGGAGCTGGTGTCCGTCAACACTGGATCGCTTCTGAGAGAAATGCACTTTGGTGATTTGATTCTTTTCCTTAAAAAGCAAGGCTCCCTTCATTTCAGATCTCCTTTTTTTGAGGCTTAAATGGTATTAGAGACACGTATTTTCTCACTTCTGAACTAATCTTCCAGAAAAAAATAAACGTGGACCTTGCAAAGAATCTTACAAAGACAAGAGCTTTGTAAGCCGACACCTTCCAGAAGTTGAATGGCTCCTGAATTTTGTTCGTGGCCCTTGGTTTGCATGTTCAGTCTCACAGTAAAGGCAACGCTGAACTAATGCCTAACCTCTAACATACTATCAAATTCAAAACACGTGTTAAAAGTCATTACCATCAGTTTCTCCACCGAATAAGTACACGTTTCCTTTTTTCAAAGGTTCTACTGACAGAACTACTTACTGAAAAATACAATTCATTAATTTACTGAATTTGAACTAACATCTCCCTTTGACTTTCTCAGCACAGTAAGACTGTGAAACATGAGTCCTTTGTATATAATTATCCTCCTGACCCACTTGGAAGAATTTAAAATCATTCTTATTGTGACAAAACCCCTTTTTGCCCGCTGTGTGCGGATGGGTCCAGTCTGCGCTCCGAGGACCAACAGCAGCAAGTCCACAGCCCCCGCTGACGGCCAGAGCCACCCGCTGAGACAGGGCAGCGCAGGCAGGAGCTTATTCATGTCAGTCTCATCCGCCGCTGGCTACATAGCAAAGGCTGTTTATGGAACATGGAGCTTCCCTTAAATAGCTTCACTGAGCCCCCACGTGGCCTCGGGAGACGGGGGAACACGGCTTGTGGACCATCCACACGACCGAAGAGCGACTCTCAACTAAGAAAGAATTAGCCCCTGTCCCCGCAGCCTCCGCGCCTGGGCAGGGCTGCGGCCGGAGCTGCTTTTGGTTCCTTCTTCACAGAGGACAAGACCCACGGCGCCACCAGTCACCAGGGTCTGAGGAAGGTCTCCATGTGGCATCTCAGGCACCAGCTTCTGACCCTCCAGCTTCCTTAGACGGCACGCGGCCTGCTTGGCTCCGGCTGCGGGAGGCGCCTGCAGCAGACCGGACACCTGCACTGCGCTCCTCACTCGGGGGTGGCGTTCGCGCGTGCACATCCCCGGGCCTGGGCGCAGAGCTCAGGAAAGCGAAACAAGGCAAGTCACCCTGCATTTAAAAAACGGTCCTGCTGTCTCCTCCGGAGCTGCTGTGGAAGAGGCAGAGACGGAGGGGGCACAGCAGAGCACGTCGCGGGGACAGACCGTCAGGCTCTGTGCGCTGCCTGCCGGGGCAGGGGCCGTGTCAGGACCGCCGCGGGTCTGCTGCTGGCCCTCGACGAGAACACGCGAGCCAAAGAGGCCAACCACGCGCCCTCTGCCATTCGCGTCTGGAACACGGTGCACAGGCGCTGGGCCCGGCCACACGGGCTGCCTGGCTGAGCTCCGGAGCAGTCCCTGGGGGGGTGGGTTTCGGGAGCTGGGCCACAGCCACTCCTGCCACATGCAGCCCCCGCAGCCGTCGCAGGCTGTGCAGGGTGCGCGGGGGCAGCGATGAGTTCGGAAGGAGATGCGCTGGTTTCCTGGCAGTCGCCCACTTTCCTGGGTGGTGCTAATTCTGAGGCCCAGCTCCACTCTGGCTTCTGAATAATGCGCACTGCCGTCCTCACAGAAAAACCACTCACCCACCCACCATCCACCATCCACCATCCACCCACCATCCATCCATCCACCCATCCACCACCCACCCACCATCCAACCATCCACCCACCATCCACCCACCATCCACCATCCATCCACCCACCATCCAACCATCCACCCACCATCCACCCACCATCCGACCATCCATCCATCCACCATCCAACCATCCATCCACCCACCATCCACCCACCATCCAACCATCCATCCACCATCCACCCACCATCCAACCATCCATCCACCATCCATCCACCATCCAACCATCCATCCATCCAACCATCCACCATCCAACCATCCATCCACCATCCATCCACCATCCAACCATCCACCCACCATCCACCCACCATCCAACCATCCATCCATCCACTCATCCATTGTCCATCCATCCATCCAACCATCCATCCATCCACCATCCAACCATCCATCCATCCAACCATCCACCATCCAACCATCCATCCACCATCCACCCACCATCC